TTGTTAAAATCATTTATATACGTTAAAATTGAAAAAACCGTTTTCATAAACTTTGAAAACATGTGTTTCATTCTTTGAAGCATAAGCACTTACATGTTTCACACATCCAAAATGTTCGTTGTTTTCTTTTTCGATGGCTGCAATATGCCACATCTTCTGCCTGCTCGTTCTCTGGGTGCTGACTTACATTTTTTGTCTTTTCTGATTGTAACGAATCGGTTTTTTAGTTTTTTTTTGAACTGGGGATTTCAGTGTTTCTTTCAGCTCTTTCTTGCTGCAAGGTGCCATTAGACCTTCTAACTGAGAGACAAAATCTTTCATTGTTTTTACATAATGATCACTTTTGCGAACAAACTTAAATAGAATAAATGTGTTTATACTTGCATCTAAAAAGTAAAAAAAGATCCTGTGCCACCATTTCTTGCTTTTGTGGTCTATTTCATATAGCAATTTCAGTTGATCAAATAAGTCGACATATCCATATTCATATATGAAATAATGCCGTTTGGGCACAGTGCTTTTTTTGTTTTTCCATCTCATTCTTTTCTATTAATTTCTTTCAATTCAGTTGCCTTTTCCAAGCAAGACAGGATAGAAACGAATCTTTTATCCTTCCTTTTTATGCAATAAATTGAATCATGGCTAACTCAAAAGTCTATATCTCCTCTCGACATAAATTTGTCTTCTTTTAAATTTTTGGGTAGATACTTCCGATTCATATTTACAGTGCCACATGCATAGATGTTCTGTGTCTTTAAAAGCGAAACAAATTATAACTACTGAAGTAGTTGTCCATAAAAACTCTATGGTTATTACCATAAAGAGGCTGACACAAAGTTTTTCACTACTCTCTCCCCTAGATTTTTTCCACAGAGTCACCGAGTTTCCAGTATAAATTTCAAATTGGCATGCAAATCCAGTGACATCACATCCATCCATACTTTGTAACCGCGTTTGATGGGTTTTTTAGGCATATACTGCTTTAGGCTGCTTCTCCCTTTGAAGCGAATCATTGATTCGTCAACTGCCTGAGTTTCATTAGGATTAAAAACTGCCATAAACCTTTCTGAGAGATGATTTAAAAGTGGGCGTATTTTGTATAGCTTATCAAAATTAGCTTCCCCTCTCTTAGGTTGTAAACAATTATCGTTTATATGAAATTCCCAATATCCAACTGAACCTGTTGACAGGCATTATGTTTGCTATATAATCATCGTGTAATAGTGGAGTACTTCTCCAGTAGTCCCGATAACTTGGAAACTTTTTTACGCCCATTAGCAAATTTACAGCGAGAAATCGCAAAAACTCGTTACTCTCAAGAGGGGAAAACGCACTGTTTTTCTGTGTTATGTACAAGTTTGATTGAAAAACAATAAACTTAAGTTTCTTGCAAAAACTCGTCCCTCTCAAGAGGGGAAAACGCACTGTTTTTCTGTGTTATGTACAAGTTTGAATGAAAAACAATAAACTTAAGTGTGAATATACTTAGGAATAAATTTACAGGTGTTGGATCATCCAAATTAAAAATCTCACCTGTCGGTCCCGAATCTTTGAATTCTGGTAGTGAAATATCAACTTCTTTTTTGTTCCAGCATAGAACAGAAGACTCTGAGGGTTTTGCAAACTCAGCCTCGTTGTCAGATATCCCTTTCTTCTACAGCAATAACTTCAACCATCAGCTATTCTCTCCTGGATTTCAATTCATATGAATTCAGAACTGACATCTGAAGCATTTGAGTCGCAATCGGATGGCAATTCAGCAAAATTGGAATTTAACTTACTAAGCTTCCTAGTTGGTAATTTCACTCTTAGACATTTTAGCACATCAGAGCAAACAAAGGATGTAAAAAGCGCGCGCAATCACGAAACAAGTAGATGCAAAAAAAAAGGAAAAAAATAATCGTGAGTGCTGCCATCTATTGAGCGGAAATTCAAGTGTGTGGTGGGACAAATTTTAACCCACTTATTTCAACTGCAAAATTAATACTATAAAATATGAATCCAATTAAGATTTTTGAAAATAAAATACCTTTGAACATTAAAAACAATCATAGATATCCTAAATTGTATACCAACTTTTTAAAATATTGAAAAATGCGAGATACCTGCATATCACTCTTGTGATCCTATTTTGAATATTTTTTGCTTATAAACTTAAGCCCTGGTATAGTAGTGACATCTACTGAGAAAACTAATAACTAAAATCGATTACTTTTAAAAGATTAGAAAACTTCTAATGGGAATTGCTAACTGAGAAAAAAATATTAATTAGGTGGGACAGATATTGACCCACCATGCCGCAAAGGGTTAAATCAGAGAATAAAAGTAAATTATGTGTTTTCAATGGTTTACTTCGATGAGCCTCTGTTCAATATAGTGATATCTATTGATGGAATTAATATCACAACTTGGTTTACAGATTTGTATTGATGTGACATAGCTCACAAGACTATCCGATGTTTGTTGCCTGAAGACTGTTTCTGCTCCTGGTGAACATTTCAGTCAACCAACCAGTACTTTGTCTCTGAATTCGTGTTATCTGATATGAGCAGTTTAAGCATGCGAGTTCTTTTCAGAACTTTAGAAATGTTTCCTATGCAGTTTAAGAATATTTGGAACTTCATAAATTGAGTATAATAATAGTACTTTTTTGTTATAGCGGCCCCAAGATTGAATCATCAGTCGCCCAATATATCTCGCCAAAATCTGGTTGAACATTCTTATATGTTGCCACATGAATGTTTATTAGCACCAGCTGCGTGTTCTTATACTTTGCCAAGTAATCATATATTAGCATCATGCTGCATTTTTGCTCTTGCCATGTGTTCTTATATTATTCATTTTTGATGAGATTTTTAAATTCCTTGTTTATTTAAAAATATATTTGTTGCTTTTTTTTGTGAATATGACATTAACAATCTTTAATATGCCGTGTAATGAGGTACATGGCATATCATTTTTTCAAGAAAGAGGTTGCGTTATACGTGACAAACGAATATGTAAAAAGGGCCACAACATGAAACTTTAAGTTAATGACAAAACCATGTGGAGGTGCAGTGTTAAAAATATCAAGAAGAAGAAGGCTTCCTTGTTGGGAATAGGTTAAGTGGTTGGTAATATCATTCACCACTGCTTTTAGATTTATGTATTTTGAGGCAGAGTAATTGGCATCTGTGAAATGGTGTAACAGACAATATGTGTGAAAGTGCTGCAATTGACTGAAACAATTACATTCAATAAAATAATATTACTAAGGATTCTTAAAATATTCTTAGGAAATGACATGTGTGTATTATTGTTATTATATGTGTTGTTTAATTTTTACATTTGTGTTTCATGAGCTTGACGAAAAACTGAGATCTTGGCACAAATCTAAAATTGTGAAATATGGTTAGTGGCTGCTATAACAAAGAAGTACCAATAATATATTAGTTTGAAATAAAATGTGGTTTTTTATATTTTGCTAAAGGTGTAACTAAAGCTCTTAGAAGTATTTGTTTTGTGAGTTTATTTGGTTTAAGAGTATAATATAAGCTGTTGTAAGAGAGAAGTATCAAGGTACTTTATCTCAGAAATGTATGATTTGTTAACCTTACATAATTTTCTGTTTTTGAAATGTATAAATGTATTTGCATAATTTTCATAATTTGGAATTGTATCTTTTGAGACTCATTTATTGGGTTCTTCGGAAAGTAATTTCGTTTTTTCCCCTCAGAGGACTTAATTACATTTTTTCGAAACCAACTTCACACTTAAGCCGCATAACCATTATATGTCTTGAGAGCTGATATTACAAGGCTTGTGTGTGAAAAAGTTCTATTAATTCTACGCAGTAGTTTTTGGTTGGTGCCCTTTTAAATATGGAGAGCAATAAGCAGCATTTTTGTCATATTTTACTTTTTTACTTCAGAAAAGGTAAAAATGCTGTACAAGCAAGAAAAAAATTTACGGATGTGTATGGAGAAGGCATGTTAACAGTATGCCAGTGCTAGAACTGGTTTGCAAAGTTTCGATCCGACAATTTTGATGTCGAAGATGCACCACGGTCTGGAAGGCCGGTCGAAGCTGACAAAGATGCGATAAAGGCATTAGTTGATGCAAATCGGCGAATAACCACACGAGAGATCGGTGAGAGGTTAAATTTGTCGAATTCGACTGTTTATGGCCACTTGAAAGGCCTGGGCTTAACCTCGAAGCTCGATGTGTGGGTGCCCCATGTTCTTACAAAGCGATCCTCAAACGTCAGGAAAATGATCCATTTTTTAAGCGGATTATTACTGGGGACGAAAAATGGGTCGTATACAACAATGTGGAACGCAAGAGGTCATGGAGAAGAAAAGATGAACCTGCTCAAAGCGTTTCAAAAGCCAACATTCGCCAAAAAAAGGTGATGCTGTCCGTTTGGTGGGATTTCAAAGGAATCGTTTTTTTTTTTAGCTTTTACTGGACAATACAACTATTAATTCGGAAGTCTATTGTCATCAACTGCACAAATTGAATGATGCACTTAAACAGAAGAGGCCAGAATTAAGCAACAGGAAGGGTGTAGTGTTCCACCAGGATAATGCGAGACCTCATACAAGTTTGGTCACTCGCCAAAAGCTTTTACAGCTTGAATGGGACATACTGCAACACCCACCATATTCTCCAGATCTGGCGCCTTCCGATTATTATTTGTTCCGGTCCCTGCAAAATTTTTTGGATGGTAAAACCTTTACCTCAAATGAAGATGTCAAAAACCACCTGAATCAGTTTTTTGCCAGCAAGGACCCAAACTTTTAGCAGGGAATCATGTTACTGCCAGAAAGATGGCAAAAGGTGTTGGACCAGAATGGCCAATATATAATTTAATAAAATATTTATTCATTGTACGAAAATTGTCTTTCATGTTCCCCCCAAAAAACGAAATTACTTTCCGAACAACCCAATATAATAAAGCAGTTATTATTATTTTATTTTATGTTTACATGCATTATTCGTGCATTCGTTTTTTTTCTTAGCAGGAGGAGGTAACAAGCCAGGATATGTTCGCCTTTTAAGAAGGCATTTGGATTTGAGATACCTTATCAAAGATTATAAAAATGAAGTTAAAGATATAGCTTTTGCTCATACTACTTCCCAAATACTTTTAGGATCGGTAGATTCATGTGGTGAACTATTTGTTCACAAGATAGATGATGATGGCTCTTCAATATCGTATCCTTTTTTTCTCTAAAAGTTAATTTTCTAATTCTTAAAAATTATATTAGAAATGTGATCTAATATATTGTTGCATATGTAGAGAGGCTTTGCTTGGCAGCCATGAAGGATTTAGAGTTTTATCTATGGCAGCAGAGCTGGAAGTTTGAATGTTCAACAGTATGTTAAAGATATTGATTTAAAATGTTGAAGATTATAAGATGTATATGAGAAATATATTGGTGTTCACAAGAATTAGTACTTGTCTGGCTGATGCATCATCTACTACCCAGGTAATAAGTCTTTATTATGTAGAAGAGCTGTAGTTCCAAAATCATGCTTGCATATCAGAAAGTGCAAGGAACTTCTTACAGTTATAGTAATTTGTGACATAAGAGGAATTTATCTGAAAAGAATTTTAAAATTTGAGGAGAATTTTATGTTAAAAAACATGAGCTGAACACTGCTCCTCTGCAAAAACTTTCTGTCAAGAGCTTCATTGGGTCAACATTCACTGTTTAGCAGCTACAAAAACGGGACTCTTGATTAATGCTGTTTTTATTGATGCCAGGAGCACAAAACGTAAACCATAGACTATATATGCAGTACATTCTTGCAATGACTGGGACTGTCTTGCACCATGTACTCATGGTGCATAATAAGTGGATCAGTGATTGTTTAGGCTACGATATTGGGGAAGTTCTGAGAGGTCAGTTGTTTTGGATAACCCTATTGCTACTGAGGATTAATGATGCATGCCAAAAAGGATTGTGCAAATGTTCACCCATTAGTTCAAACATTGTATTCTTAAGTGTACCAGTTACCACGCAAAACTGGGGACAGAAAGGTTTGAAGTACATGAAGATGGGCTGTAACATTTACCATGGTTTGCACAATCACTTTATGTGAACCACTCTGAAGTATTGGAACAAGTTTCAAAAGTGTTTTCCTCCTGTAGCAACAAAATTTATTTGTTGCCATTTTTTTTTATCAATGAAGTGGCTAAAATGATTTTTAATGATTACACAGTACAAAGTCCGAAATCCAGACGCCCATTATCCGGAATGATCTAAAATCAGGATCTCAAAATTACCAACAATGTTTTCTCATAGGTTTTATGCATGCGCATTAGATCCCCCCTCCGCGCATAATTAAACATCTGAAGAGCTCCGATTCTTAATTTCACTTTTACACTAAATAAAATACCTTGTTATTAAAGAAAAAATCTTTTTAGCATAAATTTGTACTATCAATAATTTGGCTCCTTTACTGCATATCTGCTTGGCATACATCTCAAACTGAAACATTCCACATAGATATATCGTTGATCTGATGTCAACGTGGGGAATCATTATTTATTATACTTTCCTTTCATCACCGCATGTTTATCAAAACATGACAAATTGAGTAATGACTCATGTAGCGATGCATAAACAATTTTGTTATGTTAGTAATTGAATAATAAAGGAGTGTGGTAACCTTTTATGTTGACATCACTCTTGGCGATGATTACAGATTTAAGTTACATGCGCTAAAAAATGTTGAGAGGAAAAATTTCTTTTCATATACTAAAAATAGATTTTGTTGATGATACTCATACACCCAAAGATTACATTTAAGGCTATTTGAATTAAGAATAACTAATTTGTTATTCACATAAATCCAGAACCAGCGCCATTGCTCATATGGCCGCATCGAGTCGCAGAATTTATGACCCACAGAGACTGCATCAAGCAGTAAGATATGTAGCCCGGCCCTCAGTAAGGCTTAAGTATATGGTGGGAATTTATTTATTCAGAACTCTGATAAGCCTTAAGCATGTGCAAGAAATAGACATAAATATGATAAACAACTGAACTAATACAATTCAGGCTTAGTTGTCTCAGAAGCAAGAGAAAATTTAACGGAACAATTTCTCGTTAGTCGCCAAGTTCATGGTGCATAGCCAAATATGTATAGTGAAGAATATCTAAATTTGAGGATGATAGCCACTAATTTTAAAGGTTTTTGAATATCGCAAAACAAAGGTGAAATTTTCCAATTAACGGATTTTGTAAAGAAATGAAGAGAAATGGTGATAAATGAAGAGGATGTAAAAGAAGTTTTTCATTTTGATGACAATGTTTCTCAATCTATAATCCGGACTTCAAAGCCACAAACTTTTTTTTTTTTTTTTGTATGCTTTACGCATGCACGTTGGGAGGATGTGTCTCCAGATACGTTAAAAAATGCTTTTCATAATTTATAGCCGACTACCATATTTCATGGTGAGGACGATGAAAATAATAGCCGTGAATTTGAAGGTTTTCGGACATTGCAAACTGAAGGTGAAATTTTCCAGTGATTGGATTTTGTAAAGAAATGTGGAGAAGCGGTAATAATTGAAGATGATACAACAGAAGTTTTCCATTGTGATGACAATGCCCCAATCATCAATTAATTAATGAATAGCGAAATCTGTAGTATGGTTCTAGATCCAGAATATACTGCTACCGATAGTGAAGAAACTAACAGAGAAGTTACTAAAAACAAGAAAATTTCGATTGACAAGTTAGTCAGATTCTCGGAATAGCAGTTACAGGACTTCAACAATGTAACTGAACAAGAGATTATGTCTGTCTACAGAATTAAAGAGAAAGTATTAGCACAAAAAACGAAGCAACTTACATTGAAAGAAATGTTTAATAAGGTAAACAAATAAATATTAAGCTTTCTTTTCTAAATGTCGATACCCTTTAGATCATAAATACTTCATTATTTCATAAATCATGCTTTCATATTTTTAATTTTATTATTTCTGCATGCCATCTTACTAAATTTAAACTGATGATCTAATATATGAAAAAATTCCAAATCCGGAATCGCCGAAGTTCCAACAAGTCCAGATTTCGGACTTTGTTCTGTATAACACTTGTATTGTCAGTTCTGAAACGAATGGTCTGAAGAAGAACCTGCTTTTATTATATTATCATGCTGCAACTGCAGGTGTTTCAGTTTTATTGTCCATCTATTGCAGGTGAGCTATTTTTATGTTTCCTTGTAGTAACATTTAGGATAAGTTTGTGTAGCATTGCAATGAGTTATAAGTTATCAACAAATTCATGTGTTATACTAGAGCATATTCAATGTTATTTCAGCATGTATTACTATTTGAATAGTTTAGTCTATTAATATTTTGTATCAGTACAAACATAAATTTGGAAGTATATTAATATTGGGAATTTTAATTTTTCAACTAGCTACTAATTTTTTTAATTGTGTAAGAACAATGAAGTATTTTATTAATATCTGAAATAATATTTGTGTATACATAAATGTATTGTTTCATGTGTATGCATATTGTTTTTTTACATCTTTAATCATTTCTTATTCTGCTGCACATGTAAAGATGAGATATAAAATGTAAGATATTTAACTTTAATAATCTATTGTATATTTTATAAAAAAATGATGTATTTATTTTATTAGTTTTTCTTCTGTACAGTTTGAAAACATTCACAAGAGGCAAATTTTTTTATGATTATGGGTTATTATTTTTCATACTTAAGAACTCTGGAAAATTTGCAAGAAGTCATTCAGCGGTGTAGCGGTAGATAATTTCTAATGCATATTTATAAATAAAATTTGGATGTTTTATCCTTAGTACCAATCATGTCTCTTAAATTTGTAGTTTTGTTACTCATGACATATTTTAAAGTAGTGTAAACTTGATCAGGAGAAGCATAGGCCTTAAGTTGTATACATGTTAATTTTCTTTGGCAGGAGAATAAATCAATAAGGGTATAATAAACAAATTTGTGAATGATAATGTATTGGTATTTGTTGTTTAACCAAGAACCGTTAATACTCGACAGAAAATCTGTTGTCACTCTTTAGTGATTAAATGTTAGCTTTTGTATATGTTCAGTGGCTAATGTTTGTCAGTTGCATTCAAAATGACACCAAACAAATTGTTATTCTGTGCCGTTTGTTTCTGCCTCAATATCAAATCTGATAGATGATTATGAACTATACCATGTTGCCACTTATTCTTTCATTTTGCTTATTCCTACAGGCATTCTTAGCAGCTTTTAGTATTCTGATTTGCTTAGTCACAAGAATCAGAATCACAGTTGATCTTTTTGGTAATGTATTTCCCCCTCTTTTTCAAGCATGCCCTCATGGTGCAATGGTAGCACACTCGGCATGTATTTAAGAGATCAAGGTTCGAATCCTGGCAAGGGCATTCTACTTTTTTTCTGTTTCCTTTTTTAAAATAACCTAATGACCTTAAAATGGCACCCAAACTAAAAAGGGAGGGGACAATAATTCGTCACCACCAGGATTTGGCAATTGTGTCCACTAATCCTCAGTCTCTCTTTAAGCAGGGGAGTATATAAGATATTTTCTCCCTCCTTTCAGCATGCCTTTATGGTGTAATAATAGCATACTTGGTGTATATTCGAGAAGTCTAGGTTCGAATCCCAGAGAGGACATTGCACATTTTTTGCGTCTCCTGCTTCAAAATAATGTAATGACTCTAAAGTATAACAAACAAATGACATACTTGGTATATTAATACTTATAAAATTGTATCAGGTAATAAACTATTGTGAATAAATAATTTTCATTTAAGCATTAGAAAAATAACCTGCTTGTGGTTAATATTAATCCAGATGAAAAATTACAAAAAAGGGAAATATATGACCTGACTTCTAAAAGTTTTAGTTTGGTTTCTTTTAAACTGGTGTATGTCATCCAATACAGTACAAAGTCCATACTCCGTACTCGTCGGGACTTCGACAATTCTGGATTAGGGGTTTTTCCGGATTATAGATCATCAATTTAAATCTGGTAAGATGGCATGCAGAAATTATACAATTAAAAATATGAAACCGTAATTTATGACATAAAGAGCAATTATGATCTAAATGGTATCAAAATTAAAAAAAAAAAAAAAAAAAAACTTAATATTTATTTGTTTACTTTAGTAAACATTTCTATCAATGTAAGTTGTTTAAGTTGCTTCGTTTTTTGTGATAATACTTTCTCTGTAATTCTATAAACAGACATCATTTCTTGTTCGGTTACAAAGTTCCACTATTCAAGCGCTGTAATTGCTGTGTCGAAAATACCGACTAACTTTTAAATCGAAATTTTTTCATTTTCAATAACGTTCTCTGTTACTTTCAAACGCATGTGCAAACACATTACGTGAATGCGTTAAGTTTGTGGCTTTGAGGTCCAGATTATAGATCATTCCGGATAATGGACGTCTGGATTAGAGACTTTATACTGTATATCTTTTGCTGTATTTTCTTAAGGAGCTAGATTTTTTTTTTTTTCCGCTTAACTTTTTGTAAGATGTAATCTACTGATCCGTATTCTCAGATCTCCTGACTGGACACCTAGTGAGTATAATCGTGTTATTTGGTGTTTGTACATTCCAGATGAAAATGACAATGCAGAAGAAGATGCAGGTAGTGACGATGTTAGCACATTGCTAGTGGTCACACATAATGAACGAGTGAGTGAATACCTATTAGTCAAAGTTGTGAATTACAGTTTTAATGCTTTGTTTTGGTTATATTTCTGAATTATTTAATTGTCTGAGATAATTTTTACTATAGAAAAAATAATTGTAAAATTTTTAGTCTTTTGATTAATTATAACAGAACACATATTATGAACATAATCCTTTCTTTGGCATTATTTTCTTATATTTTTAAGTTTAACTTTTTACAACTTAAAAAGGAGTTTTGCTTATTTAACTATAATATTGATGATAGCAGAAGTGCTTCCCCCCTCCCCCCCCAAAAAAACAAATACAGTTTGGAAATGTTGGGTACATACTTATCTTTTACCATAATTATTCTATTTGTTATTGTGAGTATATTTTTTTCTTACTCTCATTTTTAAATTTAAAAAAAGCCACTATACTTTTGACATATTAGCTTATTTTTAGCTTAATTATTCTATTTGTTATTGTAAGCATACATTTCTTCTTACTGTCATTGTTAAAGATTTTTTTAAAAATTAATATTGCATATATGAACTGAAGTATACTTTATTATAATGTTTACTATATAACATAACCAGTAGCGTAGCTAGGGTGGGATAGGGGGTACATCTGTTCCTGGGTGCAAGGAGCACCAAATTGATGCAACGAAATTTTTTAATGAAATGTTTTTCATTCTTGGCACACAGGAATGGGCACAAATTCTTCAATTGTCCTTGGGCACTGGGAACTCTAGCTACGCTCCTGAACCTAACTTAGGTGATATGACCCAAGGGTTAAGTCATAAAACTATAAGAAAGAGATGAAGAAAGAGCCATTGTAATGGGCCAGCTGCCTTCATAAGTGCAATCTCATTTGTTGAAGCTGTTTCTGAATTTACTTCATCATTTGATTACTTCTTCATTTAATTCAGAGATAATGTACATAATGTTCTCTGTCTGTTGTAGTTTTGTTGTTGTCTGATTGTAATAGCAGTTTAAAAAAAGAAAAAAAAAACTTTTTCTAATAGGTTAGTAGAATTTTTTCAACTTCACTTTCATTCTAATGTATCGACATGGATATTTAAGGTTCCTTACTATGGGGAAGGGAATTATTTCTTCCAAAACAATAAAACAAAGGAACATAAATTAAAAAAAAAAAAAATTGTAAAATAACACCTACTTCAGTTGGGAAATCTATCCACTATTTTGTGGACAGGTGAATTTTTGTTTACCTTTCAGAAACCAATGCTTTTACTTCTCGTATCAAGAAGAAAATAGATAAAATAATCAAAAGAATTTTGTGAAATAAAATGATTATGTCATAATCTAAAATTCAATAAATTAAAAATTATGTCAGTGTAGTAGACAGAAAATGCTGCCTATTATTAACACACATATATATTTTATGTAGAAATTGGAATACATAGCACTTGCATATATGGAACACTTAATTTTCTCAAGTGAGTTTCTGTGTGCTGCATATACTCTGCAGCTGTGCTTAAATTGTTAAATGACAAACTTCTGTTCATTTTAATGTGCTTTTGCATATGAAAATTACAATTCTTAGTTTTTCAAATTTTTGCCATTTCTGCATAATGATTTATGTCTATTTTCAATGACCAAAATATTTTTCAAGTTAAAAAAAGATTTATATTTTGACTATTTCCAATTTTCAAGAGTATGTTAATCCCTAGTTTTTTGAAGAAATGTTTTCTTAGGAAGCCTAAAAAAGTTTGATAATTATTTTAAAGTAGCAACATTTAATATATCTAAAATTTTTAAAGAAATCTAAAATATTGTGTGATAATGTACTGTGAGATATTGGTCATATCCATAGATGATTTTAAATATTGTTTAACTGCATTAACTTTATCCCTATATGATGACTGGAAGATGAAGTTTAATTGAAATGTTAAACATTTTGTGAATGTTCATCAGTTTAATCGAACTATTAAACATTTCAATAACTTGAATAGTTTTATTCGCCTGAATGTTCAGTCCTTCCATACCTGTAAAGTAAGGGAAATGGAAAATGGTCAGGGAGATCAGAACTCTTTCCCCCAAAAATTAGAGCAGTAAATTGAAGTACAGATCAATTCTTTTAAACAAGGTTTATATTTCAAATAATATCCAATAAACAAATGTATATATAGAAGGAAAGGAAATGAAGAATTATTGTAATTTCTTAAGATATTTTTCCAGAAAATATTTTACCTAACTCATATATCTGATGCAGTTTTATCAATCCATAGCTGTTCTTTTGACCTGTTATTAAGCTCATGTTCACTCTTTTCTTTAAAAATATAGTTACCCTCTCATCAAAAGTGTTAAAAAAAAATTAGAAATTATCTCATTATTTTATTATAGTTTTAAATATATTAAATATTTTTTAATTCAGTCTAATTCTTAGTTCCTCGGTTTTATTTTGAGACATTGTAGGAATAATATTGAGCAAATATATAGCTATAAATTTCTTTTGCAGAGCATGCAATTTATTTCATATTTTATATTTATTTTTAAATAGTGTAGATACTATGTTATTTCTTTCATTTGCTTCACAATGACTGAGAAAAAATAGATTTTTATAGAATTTTTAATTTCTTAATTGTATTTTTAATAAATGCTTAAAATTATTATTATTGACACATAATTTGTTATCTAGTGTGTCATGTTTGGGCATGGAAATGTGAAGTTCAGAAGTTGAATTTCATCAAGACACTGTTTTAAAATAGTAGTGATAGGCTTATTACTATCAATTGCATTATGATAGCTGTAAGCTTAGGATCTCATTTTGTTTGCAAAATGATACATACACCTAAACCAGATAAATGGAATTATATTCTGTAATTTAAAAGGATACTTTCTTTTACTAAGTAAGAGAGAGCATCCAAAAGTAACTAGAATTATGTTTTAAGTAATTAATTATATTATACTTTTTACACTAACATATTTTAGTGTTCTTCAAAGTCTTTTCAGCCACCATCCATACACTCTTCCCAGTGTTTTGCCCACTGCTAAATAAATGGAAACAGTTTTAAAATTCTCAGTGCTGAATATCGTTCAAGCAAGCATTGCTATTTTCTTGCAGCCTTTTTACGTCAGTAAATTGCTTCACGTGAGCTTCCTTTAACCATGGAAATTGAAAAAGTCTTAATGAGTAGCTTGAGATTTAAACATCATGTTTTTCTCCAAGGATATTGGACAAAAAATTTTCATAGATGAAGTGAATGGTCTTTCAGTGTTATTTATTAGAAAACTGTCTGTTGTAAAATTTAAGCATTACTGTCCTGCTCTCTCAATGTTTTCATTATTGTTCATTAATAGATGTCCAATTTGTACGGTCTTCATTTAACTCATTGTCTCTTTTGGATCTGGAGAACCACTTGTACATCTCTGATTTTCTTGAAACATTATCTTTAAAAGTATACTTAAATATAACAGTGGCCTCAACTGCAGTTTTCCTTAAAAAGGGGAGAGGATAGAACCACAAACACTGTTTGTTCTTTGCAGTTCTGCATAAAAGTAGCAGGGCAGTGCAACCAGGAACACATATCAGTACCAAGGCTGAACTACTCTATTCAGATTGATGCCACTTTGCATACTGCGTGAGGAATCTTAAGCTAAAAAGGCCTAGCAACATGATCTGCAGTGATAAAATGTTCATTTACAGTGTTGTCATTTTTATCATTTTTTGGTATGTGTATGAGGGTCACTCTGAAATTTTTGAGATACACATAAGCTTTATACTTACGAAATTTTAGGAGTCTTCAAAATAGTCTGCCCAAAATCAGTGCACTTATGTAGGAGAATTTTCCAGAGATTAAATGCCTCAAGCCATTCATTTCTTGGAATAGATGGAAAAAAATGCATTTATAGCTTCATCAATCTCATCTGAATGAAAACAACGTCCATGCAAGTTCTTTTTTGGATTAAAAAATAGCCAAAAGTCACACATAACTAGATTGGGTGAATAGGGTGGATGGTCCATCACTTTGATGTATTTTTGTTCAAGAAACTCAACTGCCCATTTAGCTGAATGAGAAGAAGTATTGTCATGGTGGAGCATAAGTCCTCTAACATTCATTTCTTGAAAAATTTGTGGAAGACTCTTAGTGGTGTACCACTTAGCTGTGACTGTCTTCTGTTCTTCCAGCTTGATGGCTTTGACCAATCCTTTACTTTTGAAGAAAATTGCATGTATTACTTTTTACATTGCATGTTGTCTTGTCACCATTGTGGGTATGGCATCATCTTCAGAGACCCACACTTTTACTTTCTTCACATGTTGGAACGTAAAAAAAAAAAAGGGTAGGTAAGTTTCATGACCAGTTAGGATTTTAGAAATAATGTGGTGAGCATCTATTTTAAGTAATTAAGAGTTTCTTTTGCTGCTCTTTTTGGTGCTCAGTTGAATTATGGGGATCCCAATAGCAAATTAATTTTTTATATGCCGTTCTTCATGAATAATTTTATGCATGGTGGATTCAATGTTAAGCTCCTACTGTATTAGTTGGTTGGTGCAGTGAATTTCATTGATTAACATTTTCATATGGCAGACACATTATTTAGGATTACTGCTGACAATGGCCTTCTTGTGTGTTCTTCATCCTAAAGAGAATTGCAGCCTCTGTGAAATTCTTTAAACCATGTGAATATAGTAGCGCAAAATGGGCCTTCATTTCCATATGAGAGAATTCGATCAGATACTTGGTGCATGAAGGTGTGTATGCCTCTCACTCCATGATTTAGCTGATCTTGACTCGCTTTTTGCTTGTTCTCGCTCAGTCTCATTATGATCAGGCAGCCACCTGATAAAGCTGCTATGGTTTCAACCACGCAAAGCTGCAAAAGTTAGCCTACTGAAACTTCTGCCTCTAAAATCTTTCCAAAAATTAAATTTGACAAGCTTCCAGTAGATGAAAAATTGCTAGACACACAGAAAAGTTTAAAAAATTAAGAAAATAAAGTTGAAAATATCCGACCAATTTATTTTTCACAGGACAATGGGGACTGTATAACAGTTGATGCTATTTTTTCTGAACTATGCAATAATCATGAAGCCCAGATGAGGAAAACTACATCTACGTGCAAGTACAGATGGCCAACCAATATTGCACTGTAGTTTCTATCCGTAAAGACAAGAAGATCCCTTTTCACACATACCAGCTCTTATCTGAAAGAAATGTAAAAGCCATAATCAAGAATCTATCTGATTCAGTACCTGAAAATGCAATTAAAGAATAACTTTCTCACCGTAAATTTCCTATTCTGAAGGTTAGAGAATTATTTAGGAATTCCAGCAAAAATAACTACGTTAAGCTTCCTATTTATTTTATAGAACTTGAAAGAACCCCATCTGGAGAAGCAGTTTTCAGTCTGAATAATATGTTCAGTGCTAACGTGCTGATTGAAAAATATGTTCCAAGAAAACAGCCAACCCAGTGCTATAGATATCAGGATTACGGGCATTCCCAACATTCCTGTTACAACAAGAAAGAAGCTGTAAATGTAGACTTAATCATCGAAGTGTATTTTGCCCTAAAAAACCAGATGGAAAAACCGACCTGCCTATTTCGTGGTGAAGGACACGTCAGTAGTTACAAGGGATGACAATATTATCAAAATAATTAAGTTAAGAAAACTGAAAAATCTAAAGAACAACCAAAGAAGCAAGCTCCTAACCTAATAAGTGATGATTTCCCTCTCGTGTTTAAAAATGCTGCTGAAACGCTCTCCACTTCCTCAGGCCCCACCTATGCACAGAAAGCCAAAAGAAATGTGACTGTGAAGCCCTGCCTTCAACTGAAAACTGATTGGATAAAAGATGAGAAAATCATAAGACTTTTTTTTAAATAACATAATCAACTCTATTATCATTGTTAAAAGTACTGCTGAAAAATTTATCGAAGGTGTAAAAGTTGTCGATATTCTCATCAATTTTGCTGAAGACATGCCTTAACTCATCTTCATTTCCTGGTAATTTCTTTCATTGTTTTACCTCAACCTGTACTCAGTCTATCTTTCTTCACCTTTTCCCTGAGCTTAGCTCACGCCATACTCTCCTATTCTACTTTAGGATGAGTGCCACTGCCAATGATGCTTTATCTCTCCTTCCTTTTAACTATGTTTTCTCTCATCTAACATTCCCTTCTCATTACAAAACCTCTTGTTTCTTCACCTTATACTCACAGCCATGTTGGCTTTCCTTTAATTCCCCTTTATCTTTCTTTTCTGTTTTCTCCAAATCTGTACAAATTTTACTCTTTTGATGTGGAGGTGCATGGTGTTATCACAAAGACTCCATAATTCTTCGTCATTGGCCTTTCCATATGCTGATTGTAAATATTGAATGCATTCTTCTTGAATTAATACCATTTTAAAATCATAGAAAATCATACTGCCGTAATGTTCTCACATCAACTCCATTTTTCATTCTGTCTAAAATTTATGCTAAAAAATATGTCTGCTTGGCTAAAATAGTTCATATTTTCAAAGCTAACAATTTTTTTCCTGCCACTTATTGTCTGTACATATCTAAAAAATATTGTGACCTCCATACATATTATAAAAGCAATTTTATCAGTATTTTGTATTCACTAGAAGAAATATAATTAAATATGGTTAACCAACCCAATAGTTGCAAAAATTTTTCTGCTATAGTATTTTATAACTTTCTGCCCACTGATAAATTGCAGCATTTTTCATAGAATAAAAAGTAATTCACATTCATGAAAGGTTAAGTAATCCTTCTGTGAAACATGAGCATCTGTAAAGAGCAAAATATTCTTGGGTATTTGAAACTAATTGAGTATAGAATATTATTTTTGTAAGCTGAATTCTTTGTACTTACTTGTTGTCACATGCATAAATAAGTGATGTGAAATCTATTTTATTGTTAAGGCTGAGATTTGGAATATAAATACGGTAATAAAGGAGCATGGTCTTGGAAACTTAACTTTGGATGAAGTCAAAATAGGAGTTCAAGTAATATCTGAACATAAGAAGGTAATATAAATTCTTTATTATAATATTCTGTCATACTGATATAGTTCTGTGTAATGTAATATATGCTATTTAAAAAAAAATTATAGTCAAATAAACATTGTGATAGTGAGAAGTGTGCATGGCAAAAAAATTGGCTGTATCTTTTGCTTGTGCTTTAATCTTATTTATTTTGGTTTTTCAATTTAATTGTCACATTCCCCCTTTCTTTAAAGGTATCTAAGTAAAAATTTTCTGTACATTTTTATTTGCCAAATTTATATAATACAAAGGCAATACAAATAAAAATAAAAATAATAATAATAATAATAAAATAGCAAGCCCTCTGAGACAAACTTTATTCCATAGAAAGTTATATGGATACACATTAGTAAACATTACTTTTCAACATTGTCACCAAGCTAGACCAAATATTTGTTCCCATGGTACACCAAAAGCATCGATGCCTGGAGAGAAGAAATTAGTATCAAGCCCCTGGAGCAATCCAAGTTATTGTGGCTCCTGGTAGCCAAAATGAAACTTACTTATGTGGCATAATATTAACACCATACATTTCAATAAGGTAACAAGGAAACTTTACAGACGAAATTTACTTTATATGCAGGAACATATGTATATGAGCTTTTAGTATGTTGGCAGATTTATTAGAATTTAGATCTACACTGTTACGTAAAAATTGGTATTATGCTTAGATTTGAAAATTTATTTATTTATTTATTTATTTATTTATTTATTTTTGCTATATTACTATTTAAATTTGATTTGAGATATCTTTTAGTAGCTTTTTAAATTGTTTTGCTTTCCCTGTATTTTTCTGTTGTTACCAATAATACCAATAATGATTATCATATTTGCTGTGCATGTTTAATGTTTTAAATTGTTTAGTTACCGTAATTTTGGGTATACGCTACACCCATAATTGAATAAGAAAAATTTTTAATTCATCAGATAAACTGTATAAGCCATAACTGTATAAGCACTGCCATATAAGCTACAACAAAGCTATTTGAAACATGGCACTTAAATTTTCATTTATTTAGTAATTCTCTTCCCTACTGATGTAATCATTGATAATATTTTATAACATATGCCACATAACTGTAAACAATAATATATAACTTATGAAAAAATAAACAAAGATCTTACCTTGAAATTACCATAAACATACTTCTGATTTCTAAGAGACGTTATTTTTATGAATTTGGTAAGCATTTTTTATCATCGTAAATCACCATGTTACAAAAAAAAATCTGATGTGTACACCACATGACTTCCTTGTACGGAATATTTAAATTATACGCATTTTTTTCTTGCATTTTATTTACTTATTAGATTGAATTAAACCTACTTCGCTGACTACGCATAAACTACAATAGAATAAATGCATTCTTTAAAATTTACTTTGTTTACCATAGTGACACTCTGGCACTAGGTTTACTTAACAGTATTATATTTCATTCATATTATAACTCAGAATGCACAAAATGTATATCATTTAAAGAATTATTTAATCATTGCCACATGTTCTATTCAAATACTATAATAAAGCTAGAACTATGTATAAAACAAATTAAGCAAACAAAACAGAAAAGAAACAGTTTTTCACAGACTATTTAGTATTTCTCATTCAATTAATTCAGTTCTCACTTCGCGACAAGGCAAAAATACATAAAAAACCCAAAATATCTATATTAAAAATTACGAAGTAAATCTCAAACGCTTATTTCCTCGAAAAAATTCCAGAAGGAATTAAGCATGATTTAATTGGCAATAATAAATGAATGCGTTATCTTTGTTGTTGCGAAGCTAAGTTTCTCTAGATTGGCAACAAATCCACTAGTCTCCTGTTTCAAATGTAAACATCAATGGCCGCCATTTAAAAACAGGCTTAGCGGCAATTAAACAACTTTAAAATTGCTGATAATTCTAAAAATATTGCACACAGATTTACTAAAGGCATAAAATCCTTAACCAGAAGATAGAAACAACATAATTCAATCATTTTTAAAGCAAAAAATGTTCTATTTACAAACATATAAGAGTAAAGAAACTGAGATCACTGAGCCGGGTAATAGAGTGGATATATATATATAAATATATTTATATACGTTTGGTGCGGCCGATTGCAACCAAAATACGAGGTGCACATCTACATGTTATAGCAGTCCTATATACAAAATTTCAACGTTCTGAGGCTACTCGTTTTTGAGTTATGCTTATAATTCCTTACGAAATGTAGTATTTCATCTCGATATGCTCCGTCTTTGATATGATTTAAAACAAGTTCCTCGTCATTATAATTTGCTTCCGATAGCAAAGAAAAGTGACAGAGGTTATTGAAAACGAAAAAATTTCGATTGACAAATTAGTCGGTGTTCTTGACTCAGCAATTATAGGACTTGAACAGCGGAACTTTGTAACTGAACAAGAAATTATGTCTGTTTAATATAATTAAAGAGAAAGTATTATCACATGAAACGAAGCAAAACTTAAACAACTTACATTGAAAGAAATGTTTAATAAAGTAAACAAATAAATATTAAGCTTTTTCTTTTTGCAAATTTTGATACCCTTTAGATCATAATTGTTCTTTATTTCATAAATTACGGTTTCATATTTTTAATTTTAGAATTTCTGCATGCCATCTTACGAGATTTAAACTGATGATCTATAATCTGGAAAAATCGATAATCCGGAATCGCCGAAGTCCCGACGAGTCCGGATTAACGACTTTTGACTGTATCTTCAAATTTTAGTTTAATTACGTGATTTGTATTTACCACCCAAGCAGAGGTGAAGTTTGTTAGTGTCGAGTTGACGCATTGTAAATTTTCAAAAGATTTAATAAATTGTATTTTAACCCTTCTCTTGTGTAGTTTTCTGTTACTCCAATTTCAGATAGAAGTTCACCCACCTGGACTCTACAACGTAAATAACAGAATTTTATAAATAAATTGCATTTATTTATACAAAACCTTCAAAATATGACTCGTAAGAATTAAATAAATTTAACAAATAACAATCAAGGTCACTTCCATCACTCTGTTTTAAATAACTTCTTTCAACATCATATCTTTTTTTTTTTTTTTTTTAATGATATTTAATTTAATGACAAACTGATTGTCATGCTTTATGGACGTACAAAGCAACTTCCTTATACAAAATGGAGTCCACTTTGCATCCATATTTCCCACTGCTTTTGTAGTTCATGCTTGAAAATTTTATTGATGGTGAGATTCAGTGGATGTAAAATTATTGTAAGGCCACTTGTATCACTGAGGCATGGGAGATATTTTTTTCCCCTCTTCATGCTTCACAGTATCCACTCAATGGGATTACATTAAATCCAGAACAATGAGTCTCTGAGGTTGGAAAAAAGCACCTTTCCTCTTTTGACTAATTTCTCTCAGCCAAAACATTTTTTCACAAATCCATTCTTTTTGGTTGATACAAATAGAGAACCCTTTAGGGAAGTTTTCTTATGAAAATAACCAAAGGGGTTAGCTTCTCTCCATTTGGGGCCCAACCCAAAACACAAGTAAACGAAGTGTTTTTCATTCACAGTTTTTAACACAGAAATAATCCCCCCCCCTCGAACTGCTCTGCTTGGAGGACAGTGAAACGTAATGGGCACTTTAGCCAGAGCTATTTGCCCTCTCTATTCACATTTTCTTCTTTAATTTTCCAGTAAGCATCTGTCCAATTGCTGTTTTGGTTTTGACAAGTAGTGTCTTTCATGAACCTAAAACCCCAATTAGATCCTCCAATAAAGTTTTTAATGCTTATTTGTTGATCAGTTACTTCTGCTTGAACACTAAGCCTAACTGTTGATGCTGATAATTCTTTTTCTGTCATGTCCATTTCTCTAAATTGTCTTACAAAACAGACTAAGCTATGATGGCAGTCTGACATGATCTGCATCCTGATTTCTAATTTGTGTCGCTTTCTTCACTGCTGAAAGCTTAAAAGCAGCTGCATAACTTTTTCTTTAAGTAGGAGCCATAATAATAACAGTAATAATTTTAAAAATTCAACAATCGTGAAAGATAAAATAAGCATTGCAACAAGTAAGCTATAAGCAAGCTACAAAGCAGTGAGATACGTGTAAGAATGAATGCAGAACTTGACAACATAAAATTGCTATGGTCATGGGAAAGAAGATGGTGATTAGAAAACACAGAAAAAATCACAGTTAGTACGTGCATTATTGTGTCCTTTATGTCGAGCTCACTCTATCATAGTCTATTGCAGAGGTTCTCAATCGGTGGTATGCTAAGAAGCAAAGTATTTTTAAGTGTTAAATTCAAAAATTAAAACCCCAACATCCTGATTGAGTTCTTTCTCTAACACTCATAAATTTATGCGATCTGAGCTTTGTTCAAGAATGGTGGTGGTAGTATTACTTTGTAGTGTTGATACTAAAGGGTTTCCATTTTTGTTTAGATGGTATGCATAAGTCAAAAGGTTGAGAACCACTGGTCTATTGTATCATATCATAATGAAATTACTAGTGATTTATCTTTTCTGTCCTGAAATCTGCAAAATCCTAAAATCCGCACAACCTCCGGTCTCAAGCCTTGCGAATTTCTGAACTGCATTAGATTCAAAAAGATATTAACTGAAATTAAAAAAAAAAAAAAAAGTTAAATTTAGTTAGTTATTTGAAATATAGTTTGAAATTAAGTTTTATTTTGTTAAAAAAAATTATGGCCAATCAGCTGCTTTCTGATTTTGCATTTAGTTGAATGCAGTTCGAGACCACTGCTTTAGACCATTGACTTGTACGTCCAATGCAGATAACCGCCCTTAAAGATGATTGAAATTGTATATAAATATTGCTGAGAGCTTCTGTCAATCATTCATGTGCAATATGTTATGAATCCCTTTTTGAATTGCAGGGAATTAGTCTTTGATTCATATGATTTTGTATTATAGCCCATATCAGCTGCTACTTTTTCTCCTGATGGAACTGCATTATCAATAGGTAGTTTGGATGGTATAGTACAATTTTTTCAAGTCAATACGTTGGAAAAAGACATATCTCCAAGGTATGTAAACTATTTATAGTTTTGCACATATTTAATTTTCCCTATCAAACTTATCAGTAGTCAACATAATATTTAAAATACTTGCAATTCTGGTTGTGTTTTATTTTCATTTAAGTGCTATAATAATGTTGTCATAATTGCTAAAATTTAACCTTTCAGTATTTATGCATTTTTGTTAATTTATTGCTGTCATTTCTCTAGCCATAATGGGAATATTCTGTTTGTTTAAATAATAAGTGTATTATGTGAGAAGTTTAAATTTGTATAAATAGGGCTAAACATTTAACTGAGTATGTTATACCACACGAAGTAGATTAACTTGAGTTTCAAAAATAGGCAAAATTTAATCTTAATCTGATATTGATTTTTATAGGAAAACTCTATGTATTTTGAGGGAGTGTAGTGTGGAGCTTGCCTGCCAATAGCCAGTAAATAACTCTACCAGCAGTCTGATCTGGTTTTTGAATTGTAATGAAAGTGTGTCTGTATGGATATTTGGGGGCGGACAGATTTTTCCATGTAACATGAAGGCAAGCCTGTTTTCCTTAGAAAGTCCTCCACAGGCTTTCCAAGGAAAACAGGCTTAGACAGTGTCATCCAAAGTCTTTATCATCTCTTTCCCACTTGAGTAAAATATGCAAATGAGCCAGTTAAGATTAGAAAAATTTTTGTGAGGGTACCTGTCTTTATGCAGATAGCCCTCGTTTGCATTGATAATGAATTTATGTATTATAGCTGCTTGAGAAATTATAAAATCATCATAATAGAATTAAAATATTGTATCTTTGAGACATCTTTCTTTATAATGTAGATGCAAGCAGTTATTTGTTATATGGTACATATTTGTGTGTTTATGCTGTGATAGCTTGATACTTAACTTTCTAAAGCCGGCTGGTATAGCAGTTGTACCAGGAAAATGACCTTCCTTAACGCTGGCTCTGGTGCAACTGTCGTACCACCCATTCCCTCCCTACTTTAGAGAATCGCCTATCTGTAGATCAGGGTGGTCCATTGTCACCGCTCAGAATAGCCGCTGGCTACACATTATTTCCTTCTTCTTATCAGTTTGGCTACATTTTAGCAAAAACCGCAGGTTTCGTCTCGCGCCAATATACTTGAAAATCAAATAGAGGCCATCTCTAATTTTTCTAGTTCTGACTTTTGCTATGATTAAAACGTCAGCGATTTTGCACGCTGTTTAAGCTTACCAGATTTAATGCCTTTTATTCATAACAAATAAGAATAGATTAATTTTTTAGATTTAATGACCTTTTATAAAATAGCTAAAACTGCTTTTATTGTTTACTTATACTTATGAATAATAAGATTTTATTTTGACATTTTTTTTGGTGCATAAAACCCTTAAGAACTGTTAACTCTTTCAAAGTGCTTCTATTATATAGGCAATTTTGTCTGATTTATCAGGTGATAAATAGACAATTTCATTCAAGAGACAATTGAATGCATAATAGTTTTTGTGATTTTCATTCATTCAATGATTGCTTTCAATGATTTTCATTGATTGTAAATTAAATAAAAATCAATTTATCTTCAAACCCTCTTTTAGGATGAGATCTGCCAAAAAGTGTTTAAATATCAGTAAAGCTCATGTTACTTCTAAATTGAATCAAAACATCAGTTACATTGTATAAAATTTCGGCCAATTTTATTTGCTGAAATTCTTATACTCCTCAAGAAATAAAGGGAATTCAGACAAGTTAATAAAAAAAAATCTTTAAAAACGCTTGTTATTTGTCTGTAATAAGGTGTATGTCAACTTACTAGTAAATGTATGAGAATTAGGATTGGATTACAGAAAAGCATGCGAACGCTATCTGCTTAAGAGGATGGATGCTTTCATGTAAACCTTAAGAGAAAATTGCTCGCATTTACGTTCCTGGTAGAAAACTCCACATGTAATCAACTCGCTCTTCGGGTTTGATTGGATTAATTTTGTTTGCTTACTGAATTACATCAAAGCACACAACAATTACCTGTATAAAGGGAGGGATGGCTTCGCAGAGGACTTTCTAAGGGAAGCTGACTTGCATTTACGTTACACAAAAACCATGAATCCAACCCTTTAGCCTGGATTCAAACCCGAGCGAGCTACAAGTGTTCAGCCACTTTTACCGCTCTACTGAAGAGCCTGTAAAAAAACTGATAAAGAAAAAGTATTGAAATAACCGGTTTAATTTACTAATTTATATTTCTCAATCGACAGTACATAAATTACGAATATGAGGGGATTATTTGTGAATAAATAAACTGTATTGCACTTTTCTCAACTGTTTCATATTACGATGGAATTATTGCATTTCAAAGTTATTTCTCATGAATTAATTTTGCTCCATTCGTGATTTTTTATAATTTCAAAGAGAAAATTTCACACTTTAAATAAAACAATACACAAGAAGATACTTTATGCAAAATTTGGCGTAAACGGTTTTCTTAATTTTGCTTTGAAAATATTCCAGAGTAATCGTTTTCATTATTGGAAGAAATATGAAAAACAGATTTACTACATTGTAAGTGTCAACACCCAGTATGTCCTTATTCTTTTGAAAACGTAAAAGATTACTCTTTCTAAAATAAATTGGAAAATATGTGCAAACAGAATATTCGTTGAAAATGAAATAGACTTCAACTTTTGGATATAACGACGGTTTTAGACAAAATTTCTACCTATGAAAAGAAATTGATGTATAATTAATTCTTCATGAATATTTAAAACTGTTCTGAAAAATACTTTTGATGATTGCATGTATAGGTCACAGATTTTTTTTTCTCTCCAAACATAAACAAAAGCCAATTTTACAAAGAAAAATTCTCGTTAAAGATATACCTCCTTTGCCTTATAGTCCAATGTAATATTTGTTAAAGTTAATTAAATTTTGATGCTTTTCTTTCTATCGTAACGTATCAAACACAACCAATGTATCTCGGATTTTCTTTTTTATATTATAAGAACAAAATTATCGAAAAAAACAGTTTTAAATCTCTTATTGTTATGTAAAGCTTTATTATTGCTGTAAGTTTATCTCAAAATCTAATTGTATTGAATCTCATTCGAATCATCTAATGGTAATAAATATTATTATTATTATTTCATTAAATTAGTCATTACCATTATTTTGTTAATGAAAATATGTTATTAAAAATCACATTCCAGCCTGCAGACTTACAAAGCTAGTTCGTATTTGTTATATTTTGTAAAATTTTCTTCTCGTTTTCTAATTTTTAATATGAAAATACAAAATATAAATGAAAAGTGAAAACAACGTTAAAAAATTCACAAATTATTTACGAGGTTGATCAGAAATAGTGAGTGAAATATAAACATTCCATACATTTTGTTCTAAATAAATAGTGCACTGGATATGCATCCGTTACTGCATATTTATTTATGCACTATTTATTTAGAACTTCATTTAAATGAAAGCAAAATAATCATCAAAAAAAACCCAAATCTAGCAACCCATCTACTATGGGACAGCGTCCGACAAACATGTAAATTTACTAAATCTATGGAGGGGGTCTAACGACTTTTCCTCATTAGGAAATTGTCAAAGAGGGGGCAAAACTGTTTGGGATCGTGCCGGTCTGAAGGCTATATTATGAGAATTTCGGTCCGGTTTTAGAAGGTTAATATTCAGCTGTTTTGAAAATTGTAACCCATCTTGTAAAATATTTGTTGAAAAAATTACTTTAATGAATAATTTTCATTTATTTTAAACATATTTTTTCTCTTTCCACAGTCATCTAAGTTTTTATAACTGTGTTGTATTAATGAATGATGTATCATTTTAGTAATGGACAGTTTCACTTTTAGTAGAATGTAGATCGCACCTTGCGTTTTGATACATGTTATATAATTTCATATTAAAAATAAACCTCCAGCTGTAGTGAATAAAAAATATGCTTTAAAGTGTTATATAAATATTAAGTAAATTTAAGTTATATAAATATTAAGTTGTATAGTGTAAATATAATAAATATTGAGAACAATTTTTAGCATATATGTGATTAATTTTTATTGCAAAAGTTATAAAAATTCCTCTGTTAATTTGGGATTTCTCTTAGTATAATATATGTGTTTTTGATTTGCTTTTAGATGTCTTCATCAGTGGGTACCTCATCCAGATAAATCTCTTTCATCTCTGTACTTTTTGGACAATCATAAAAATCACAGGCCAGAGTAAGTTTCATCTGTATAATACGTTTTTCATTAATATGACTTATTTGTAACACGATGAATTACCCCTTTTTTTGTTTCAGTGTTCAGTTTTGGAAGTTTGCTATAACAGGTGCAGAACATAATACGGAATTGAAGGTTTGGAGTTGTGAAACTTGGGCATGTTTGCAGACTATTAGGTAACTCTAATATGATGATGTAGTATTAATTTTGATAAAGCAAATCATGTTTATATATTTTATAGTCAATGTTATAACAACATGTGCTTAAAAATGTTCAATTTATAATACTGTAATAATACAGGCACTATGCACCCAATTTAATGACTACATTATTTTTTTTTTCTTTAATGACTCCATGAAAATGTGAACTATCCTTCAAAGTATTCTTGGTCATTTTGTCGTGCATTTAAAAACACTCATTTACCATGCCTGCTTTCGGCCAGTATAATATATTACACAGCATATAAACTTGTGGCTTCTTTGCATGTGGAATCTTGCATAAATCTGTTGTTTCTTTGCACATTGTGTCTTAGCACTTAGGTCTGTGCCTTCTTTTCATATAATGTCTCACTCAGCACTTGCCTGCTGCATTAGACAGTCTGATTATGTTTGGTTTTTTGTATGTTTTACACAACACATAAATTGCATCTCTGCAGGTGATGTCTCACTCTACACATTTGTATGTGACATCTCACACAATGCATTAGTCTGTGGCTTCTTTGTATGTCATGTCTGTTACAGGACATAAGTTTGTGGCTTTGCATGTGATGTCTCATACTGGTACAGGTAAAAGTGTTGGAAACATCAGAACTTCATTAAAGCAGTGCTCCGCAACCTTTTCTCACCTGTGATGCACAAAAAATCTTTCTGGAATTTCGTGGCACACCAAAGAGTTCCGAGTTATCAAGGAAGTGCCGAAAAAATTCAAATGCTGACACACTTACAATCACACACACAACCACACAACAGTGAAATATATAAAAACATTTAAAATAGACATTATTAAGGGGAAAAAATTGTCATTGTGTATTAAATACATAATGAAAAATTGCAAAATGTCAAAATTTGATTGCGGCACACCTATATACTACTCATGGCACACCGGTTGCGGAGCACTGCATTAAAGATTGCACAGGTATAGCTTCCAATCACTAACCAAATGGAGTAAGGGGGGAAGGACAGAAGATATAAGAAGAATAAAGCTGCTGATGGTTCTTTAGAGGGATATTTAAAAGTTTATTTTTAAGTGAGAAGGACAGAAAGGTAGAACAATTATTAGAAGAAAACTAAAAAAAAAAAGGGGGGGTCATTAGAAGGGTTACTGTGTAGTGGGTAAATTAATTATTAGCCCACCAGATGAGACCATTTCGAAACTTTGTACTGTTGGGAAAAGAGGGAAGTCTAATAAAACAAGTTTTACATTCACCCTTAGGTTCGGTGCATTTAAAAAAAAAAAAAAAAAAAAAAAAAGAGAGAGAGAGAAAGAAAAAATAACTTTATTACACATAGATAACTAGCCCCTAATACAATGTTATTTCATGCCCCCCCCCAAAAAAAACAGGTAAACCTTTAAGGTAATTCATGACATGGTGGGATACCACTTGTCCCACTACGCACCTAGAGCAGTAAAATGGTATCTTTGCCACGGCATAAATTCTCCTAAATTGCTTATCTAAAGTGCTAGTTTTGGCAACCAAATAAAAATGCAAGATATAAAAAACGTTTTTGAATAATTATTTAGAAAATATTGATCATATTCGCAAAATAAAAAATATTTTTTCAAAAAAGAAAATTGCATAATTTAAAAAAAATTGCGCTCTGTATGACTTTTTAGATATTTTTTAATGATTTCATAATAGATTTGAAAAAAAAAAAAAAAAAGAAAATTTTCGCTGCAGTACTTTATTTGCTACGGGTTTGGAAAGGGAGATATTTAGAAGGCCATCATGATTTACATTTCACCTCTCTTTCCTCTGCTTAGAATGTTTTTCTATGGTGAATCACATTTACATACCCATTCAGTATTCAATGACATTTCATGTTGCAGACTTATTTCTTTGGGGAAAAAATAGTAAATATTTTTCAAGTTGTAACATTATTGCAGTTTATTAAAAATATAAATTTGCATTATCAAAATATAAAACGAATATGATACTTGAATTAAAAAATATTTGTTGAACGGTGCTGCCATCTAGTAGCAGCAGTTTCTACATGTGCGGTGGGACTTATTTGGTCCCACCTTTTAATTTCAACCATTTTTAATTAATGTGAATGAATTCAAATAATATTTTTTTTAGAAAAGGAAACTTTAACATAAAAATATTCATTCTAACACCAAAAGTTGTTGTTCAGATGATTTAAATTGCATTAGAAATAAATTAAAAAAAAAAAAAAACTGCTTCAAAATTAGGTTTACAAAAAATTTTTATTTTGCATTGTTTCCATGAATGAATGCTAGTGCTGCCATCTGTTATATATTTAGAGAACTAAAAGGCATAACTGTATGTATTTTAAATGGAATTTTAAAGCTTTTGTCTGGGAGATAAAAACTGATAAAAAAAGATTTCACCACCCACTAAAGGGTTAAGCTACTATAGAGTATATTATATGACAAATTTAGAATAATTCGTATTATAGAAAAAAATATACAGAGAATAATACATCAAGAATAGAATAACACATAATGTGTCATTATAACAAAATTTTGAATTTTCGAAATTTGAAATAAAATTCTAAAACATAGAATATATCATGACAAGTAGAGAATAATACTTAAAATATAGAAAACAAAATATAGCATAATACATAAAGTATAGAATAATACATAATATATCATATAATAAAATTTAGAATTTGGAATAAAGTGCTAAAATATAGGATAATACATGATGTGTCATATAATAAAATTAATAAAATAGAAGTATAAAATATAGAAGAGAATAATATTGTATTTTAGAGTTCATGAGTATTAAAGTGTTCTTGATTAGAGAGTTCATAAAAAGTTCGTGGTTTAAGTTCATATATTTTACATGACTCGTACAATATTCATAACTCATTTTTATCATGACACAGCAAATCAATATCATGACTCACCTTTTCGGTTCTAGTTTGCTGTCATGACTCAGTTTTTATATTTCATTATGTTTATTATGTATTTTGTAAGGCTTTTTTTGTTATGATCAATACAAGTAAGTATTTGTTACAAAGATCGATAACTGATCTTTAAAATTCTACAAGGTTGAAAATTAAATATTTTGTTGCATTTCCTTTGTTGTAGATGGAGTTACTCTGCATAGATTTAATCCAATTGTGTTAAGTTTTTGGTGAATTTGTTTCATATTAGGATGAAGATGTTGAAGGTTGATGATCATTCTTTTGAAGGATATATCAATATTTCTGGGTGTGCAAATATGTGAATTTTCCGTGGGAGGACATGAGAAAAGATAGTGATCACTGTCTCCTTTCTGGCTGCATATACAGAAGTCAACGTCTATTAAGTTCCTTTGATGAAAATAAACAGGATATGGCCAATGGCTAGTAATATAACATGTTTAAAACGATTTTGTACTCTTGATGTCATTATACTAGTTGGGGTAGAACTAGTAAGTACGTCCTCCTGTAGATGCATTATTCCATTGTTCTTGCCATATTTGAGTAATTTATTCTTTCATGGAGAGTCCAAGATAAGATTTGGGAAATTTTATATTTAGAAAATTGCTTTTTTGATTAAGAGCAACAACTTTGGCAAATTTGTCGACTGTTTCGTTACCTGCATTTCCACTATAGCTTCTTATTGATGATATATGAAATTTTCAATTATCTGTTATTTTAGAGAAGTTACTGATGTCATAAGCAATAGAAGGTTGATTTTCTGGGTTAGAGATAGCATAGATGACAGATAGACTCATACATATGAGCAACATACAGCAAGTCTGTGGCTTCCTTGCGTGGTATTAAGAGAAACAGAATAATAATTCCTTTGAATGCGATATTCGCACAGCAAGTCTCTGGCTTTTGTACATGGCATTAAGAGAGGATAATAACCTAGTTAAATCTAGCCTTCTAGATCCTCAGACTTCTTGTGTAATTTTTTACTGTTAGATGTAGTGAAAAACTCACGTGTCCCTGTTTGGATATCCACCTTTTCAGATAAATTAAAGTTTGGCACTAAGTGATATATAACAAAATTGGACAGTTCTACAGCATACTGTTCAGGAAAATCTGTTATCCCAATACTATTCTAGAGGCATCTGAAAGTTACCTTCCACATCTAATTTAAATGGCTAAGAACATTTTTTTTTCCCCCCTACATATGATGCAGTGGCATTTTGATCACCATAGTGCATACAGGTTATCAAAATTCTCTGTTATTTGAGTATTATTTTTAAAAGGCAGTGTAAACAAAATTTTTTTTGAATTAAATTAACTACATTTTATTTTTCTTTAGGAAATTTATAATGTATATGTATGAAAGAGAGAAAGAAAAGTAAACATGAAATTTCAGATATTTTGACTTCTAAGAAAAAATGAAGTGATCATACAAAATTCTCTGATTTGCTAGAGAAATCAAAGTAAACACACATAAACTCACGTTTAGTGAAAAACTCACGTGTCCCTGTTTGGATATCCACCTTTTCAGATAAATTAAAGTTTGGCACTAAGTGATATACAACAAAATTGGACAATTCTACAGCATACTGTTCAGGAAAATCTATTATTCCGATACTACTCTAGAGGCATCTGAAAGTTACCTTCCACATCTAATATAAGCGGCTAAGAACATTTTTTTTCCCTACATATGATGCAGTGTCATTTTGATCACCATAGTGCATATAGGTTATCAAAATTCTCTGTTATTTGAGTATTATTTTAAAAAGGCAGTGTAAAAAAAAATTTTTTTGAATTAACTACATTTTATTTTTCTTTAGAAAATTTATAATGTATATGTATGAAAGAGAGAAAGAAAAGTAAACCATGAAATTTCAGATATTTTGACTTCTAAGAGAAAATGAAGTGATCATACAAAATTCTCTGATTTGCTAGAGGAATCAAAATAAACACACATAAAATTTTGCCTAAAAGATTTTCATTTGTCATGTAATTTTACTTGTAACTGAAGAGTAAGTTGAAACTTATCTTTCTTCTTTGTTAATTTGTTTAATGGTTGTAAAACTTCAGTTATAATTTAATGCTTAAAGAACTCTAAATGCTTATAAATAGTGGTTTTGTCCTTCATGTTCTTAATAAAGTGAGAATTAGTCTATCTGCATTTGTAGTAGGTGAAGCCAGAACTATGGGCTCAGAGATGGTGCTGAATTCCCTCCTCTTACATTGACTTTCTGGGTATGGCTTTATTTTCTGGATATTTGCTTTCATTGACAGAAATTGGCAAATAATTATAATAGAGGAAATTGAAAACCCCTTTGTGTTTAGTAAAGCAACAAAGTGATGCTTCAAGAATGTTGATGTACAGAAACATTTTTGTTGAGGTAAAAGGCAACATGAAGACATAGATGTAATCACATTTCTTGGAGAAACAATGAAAGGCATAGCTCTGAAACTAAATTTGTGTGTTTTGTTGAATGCAACTTTCCATCCATTTTTTAGCATGCGATTATGCAATTTGCTTTTTTTTATGCAGTGAACAAATTCAACCAATGTATCATTAGTAGTATAGAAATATAGTGTCAGAAATCTTCATGCACTTTTTGCTCATAGCATCATCTACCAAAATTATGAACATGGAACTTCTCATAAATCTTTTTCTTCTATGCCTTCCTGCAGTGAGTAACTGACTTTTCCTCCTGTATTCTAAAAATTATCGATTTGGAATGCAGTCATAACGATAAGATCATATGAAATGATTTCTAGAAATTGTGAAACAGTGCTTTAGAAAAATAGGAATTACTGCATTGGAAATTGTCTTCTGTAGAAAATGACTGTAGAATTTAAGAAAACTTCAGGAACAAAATTCCTTTCATTGTTAATGCAAGGCTTGGAGGAACTTAAATATGTGGAGAATAGGCTAAATACAGTAGATATTAGGATATGCAGTTATCATTCGGATTCCACTGCAAGTGTAAAAGAGTTACAGGAACTCACAATTGAATGTTACATTTGATGTGTAATTAAGTGCAAAGCTGAGCGGCTTAAGTAAAATAACTGTATGGTGAATTCGATTTCTTGGGAAATATGAAAAGCAATTGATTTTAAAGTTTCTAGTGTTTTTTTAAGTATCATTTCAAAAACTAGTTTATAGTTCTGCATATAATAAAGTTTACAGTAATATGCTTATACTTGTATATATATACTTATTTCTTATAGAACATCTTCATTCAACAGGAAGTTTTATTCAAGTTCGAAGGCTGATCATTAAAAATTGTATTATTATAATCAATTGTAGCATTTGAAGTAAATGTAGTCACTTCCTGATTAACTGGGGTAATAAGTTCTCGGTTAGCTCCAAATCGTAGTTAATCTGAGGTCAGTTATAAAAGACATCAGAGAGGAATAACCCATATCATAATTAATAGAAAAGTATTCTTAACAGTTTACTTGCATTAGTTAATCAGGAAAATTCACTGGTTTTTTTAATGATAAATTCAATTAAAGCAATAAAAAATAATAATAATAAATTCATTTAATGACATAAAGCACCATTTTGCTCTGTGACATTTTACCATTTCTCCGGCACCTGAGAAATTCCTTTCTAAAAATGTCATTAGGCATTTTCATAAAAAATTTGCCAAAGTTCTGTGTGGCAGTATTCACGTGGGTGAACTCTAAAGGACATTCAAAAGATTTTGAAAATTATTGTCTGATTTGGTGGCAACAGTTCGTAGTTCATTTAGAATACTCCCATAAACAAAACATTACTCTTTCGAAATGCAGCCTGGCTCTTGATGTTACAAAGGCTCTTCTGGCTTATCCCAAGATCTTTTTCTTGTAAAATTATTGTATAGTAGCCAATTCTAATCCGTAGTAATAAGGCACTTCAAAAAAGGATCTTTATTTCTTTCCAGCAAAGAATCAAGTGCCAAAACTTGAACAAGTATATTTTGCTCTGATAAAATGTGGAGTACGCCTACATCGTAAAAGCTTGCATACTCAGACTTCTTCAAATAATCGCTTAGTGGTTTTTCGTTTTTGGAATGTTTAGTCTATCTGATGGTTCCTTAGCAGTATACTATGTATTTTCAGTAATAACTTCTTTTAATAGGTCTTTATTTTAGAGAAGAGGTTCATCCAGAGTAGGCATAATCTTCAAGGCTGAAATTTCCTCACTTCAAAAACTGCCTTGAAACTATGTCAACAGAGCACTTTTTTCTATATGCAGCAAATGTTTTACGAGCAGTTTGATAGCATTTTTTCTTTCTTTCTTTTTCTTTTCTTTCTTTCTTTTTTTTTTTTTTAAATAAAAGACCGTAATATCATCAAAAAGAACTTTTGCTTTCTTCCTTCTTAGCATTGCACTGAAACAAAAATTACGCCAAAACGCATCCTAGAATTAGGCACTTTTTTCTATATGCAGCAAATGTTTTACGAGCAGTTTGATAGCATTTTTTCTTTTTCTTTTTTTTTTTTTTTTAATAAAAGACCGAAATATCATCAAAAAGAACTTTTGCTTTCTTCCTTCTTAGCATTGCACTGAAACAAAAATTATGCCACAACGCATCCTAGAATTAGGCACCATGTTTAAATATTCTGTTTAATCACATTCATGCCTTATCAGCAGTAACAAAATATTAAGAAGAAAATATGCTTCAATTTGAAAAATACAAAACTTTCTAGATGACTCGATATTTTCAATCAGTTTGAGGAATAAATTCCATTAGTTATATAAATTGAATCAATAATTAAAAAATAAAACTCGTAATAAATAAGAAAAAATAAACATGAACAAAAATAAAGAAACTAATTTACTATTGGCATCAGAAAGTGTTATTTGCAAATGTAACAATGTCATTGAGTTAAATCTCATCTAAGATGTTAGAAAATTTTTTGAGAATGAACATCATCTGTTGTCTGTACAGTTTTCTTTTTGCACCTCCCAGATGGTATAGTGGTTAGAAGAGTCTGCTGCGGTAATGAGGGCCCTTGTTAGGGTTGTAACTGTCTTTTTTCTTAATAGGAGGCAGTGATGACTGTCTATTAAGTAAGTGTTATAAATAATAAAATGAACAGTTTTTGATGATGATGTTGAACAGTGATAAGTTCCCCCCCCCCCCAAAAGGGATTTGAGTCTGGAAGGACTATTACTTTTGTTTTGGCATTTTGTGTCGGATTCCTATAAATGTTGGTTCACTTTTCAAACTGTTGCCACAAAATGTTAGACTCCTGCATTATATTTGAAGAAATTAAATAATGAAAAATCTGCATAAATGTATGTGTATTTCTTGCATTGTGATAAAACAACAGTATCTAGAGCCATCCAATTTTGAATGACTTAATCCTACTGCGAATATGGGCATCTGAAATTTGGAATTTTTTTTATATCGATTTCATATTCTGTAAAACTTTAACGAATTTTTGAATAACAAACTGAGCGATTTAAAAGTGAGCAATGGCAACACTCTACAGGGGGGGGGAAACCTTTTTATCTCTAGCGCATTGAACTGTGTATCAGAAATTCTAAAGATATGCTCATTTTAAAATTATTTTGCGACATTGCTATTGAACTAAATTTTATTGTTTAAGTGTAAGGAACATATTTAATAAATAAAGGTAACACACAAAATGTTAAAAAAAAGCCCCTTTGGACATATCTGAAATATTTCAGATTTTTTTTCTAATTTTATTTTAAAACCGCAATTCAGGAATCTGAATAAAAGCTGACTGACTATTGTTAATAATCCCTATTTTAGTCTTTTGAAAGAATCTCGTTTTTCCCCCTTCTTTTTTGAGTAGACAGTTTTGTTTTATGCTGATGGTAGTTTTCCAGTCATTATGCAATTAAAAAAAGAGTTAACTGTTTCTTTTAGGCAGGGCTCGATTATTATGCTGGCAGTTAATTGAGAGTTACTGTAGTATGTTTTATAGCATTTCTTTTTTATTCTTTCTTTCCCTGTCCCCTCAACAATTGGATTCTCCCTATTTTTCAATGTAATCTTAATGTATATCTTTTTTATGTAAATAAATCTTAATGTATATCTTTTTTATGTTAATTTCATTTCTTATAGAATACATCCAAATCCTGATGACCATATAATGCCATGTTTGAAAGCGGAAATAGACTTGTCGTCAAAATATCTCTTCCTGAGTGATATAAGGAGAAAGGTTGTATAGCATGACTTTAGAGCAATAATTTGAGTCTTCTTCTTTTTTTTTTTTTTTTATCATTTGTTAAATACGTTTAACAATTAATTAAATGCTTATTTTATGATGTTTTAGGTACTTCTGGTATTATTAATTTCTCAGGATCTTATAGCAAGCCATGCTGGTATATGCTCCCTTTCAGAATACAGAGTTCCTTTGCCTGTTCTGAGTCTTGCTGTAGCGAATATTAATTACATCAAGTACCCATCATCAGGAGCTAGAAATTCAGATGATGAAGGTAGGATTCTTTGGTTTAATTATACATAGAATACTGTTTTGCATATCATTTCTTTGTTTCATTTTTTACTTCACAGGAGATAGAGATCAAGTAGGAGATGTTCTGACTGATGGCGATGAAAGTCGTAACAAGTATACAATCAAACTTTTTTGGATACAGACAAAGTAATATATTTTTAATATTTTGTTCTATTTGCATTTGCATTTTTTATGAATATATGTATATGTATATATATATATATATATACACATATATATTCTTTTTTTAATAGGACATTGCAGTCTTGCCGAATTTTATATACGCCAAAACTCGAGTCACCTTTACATTCTGTTGATTCCGTTAGTTCTCTTTCTCAAGATTCTTATGGTAAGATATTTAGAAGTTATGTACCAATGTTGAAAATATTGAATTTGAGATAAAAGTATCTAGGTTTGAAGGCAACCTACCCTTGAAAAGATCTGTCTCCTGCCTGGTCAACAACTATTCACCTTATGCAAATTATTTAGTCTTAAAAATTCTTTAAATTTTTGGGATTAATTTTTTTGGTTATTAAATATATTTTCATGATTTTAGATACTTGCATTTAATTTACGTATGCTCTCTGAATTTAAATGATATTGCAAATTAGTTTGCAGCAATAATTAATCTTTTATTTGTGTATAATTTTCATATTTAAAATTTAAATTTAAATTAGTTTTAAATTAGCTTCATACGAATGAGAGAATATTTGTGAAAAAATTAACATTATTTTGCTGTTTATGATTTCTGATTCAGGTATTCAACTTAACAAATAAGTATTAATATAGTTAAAGTTAACTCTAAAGTTTTCATTTATGTACAATCTGTGCTAAAAACATAAGCAACAAGCAAATTATTGTGAATAAAGGAAAAAACATAATTTAATTTGCTTTGTTATGTTGCATAATAGCAGCTGTTATGTTTTGTTATGTTGCATAATAGCAGCTGTTATGCTGTTGTTTGTTATGTTGCATAATAGCAGCTGACAAATCTGTGCACTTATTGCCGCTATGATTGTTGACTACTTGAATATAAATAATTTACATTTTGTATTTCTTCGAAGCTTATATTTTTTTAATGTTGCTATCTTTTGGAGGCATAATGAGTATAAAATCATATTTGGAGGATTTATTTGATTTCAAGAATTAATGTGCAGAATGGTTATTTTAAACTAATTAAACATGCAATAAAAATAAATGAATTTAAATTTTAAATTTTTAATGCAATATTAAAAATTACCCAATCAGCATAGTACTTTGAAAAGCAGGGAGGATCTGCATTTACAATTTGAAAAATCATATTTCTGCAGTTATGAAATGAGATGACCTTATTAATTTCAGTGCAATTAACAGAAGAGAAGATTTTAGTTCTAATTATATAAAATAAAGTAAATAAGGTATATTTAATTACATCTAACAAATACTATTTTAATGACCAACTTTAATTTATTAAAAACAGTACTTCGTCTGTGTAAATTGATAATTTGTAAAAATTTATTACTTCAGAGGTAATTTGCAATTCATATCTCGTTTAGTGACATTCACATGAGGGGAGGAGTGTGCATTAAAATCAAAGAGTTTTTGGCTGTGTGTTTTACATTTGCTTGAAGTCAATTTGTTTTAGTTATAGATTAATTTAGTTCTTAAAGCATTGCTTTTTTGAAAATGGAAATATAATATATGCAGCATACAGAGTTATTAATAACTGCAGAGTATATGGTAATAATAACTAATATGTATACAAGTATATAATAATAACTAATATAATATATGATTATAGGGTAATAATAATTAATAACTGCAGACTATATGACTATAGGGTTATTAATAACTGCAGCATATATGACTGTACAATGTTATTAGTAACTGTAGCATGTATGGCTATATGGGGTTATTGAAAAAGAATGAACCAATTTCTAAATCCTATTTCATAGTGTGCAAGCATCTTCGTGGGATTACTCATATACCATATGAAAAAAATGTATTACTTTCTAATTTTTGAATAGTTGTTAGTAAGTAATGGTCATTAATGCTGTGGCATGATCTGGATTGCAATTCCCTCTCAACATTCAGTTGTTTTTTTACACCTGGAATTGCAACATCTTAGCAAAAGGCATTCTATGTTGAATCATGAACTTTCAATGTTAGTTTCAAGAGAATAGATATTTGTGTGTGTATATGACTTGAGTTTCCAAATAAAAATAGAAAAAAATCTGCAAATCATTTTGACAGAGCAAATGCCCAGATTTTCTGCTAGTCATGAACTGATGATCCCTCTGCTCACTTGAGCCCCTACAGGACAGGAAGTAAAACTTCATAGTAATACGTTTTTGCCTAGTCAAAAATTTCAAGTTCTCTTCCTTAATAAAATACCGCTTGATGAAATCAGTTCATTCTTTTTGAAGAACTCTACTTATTTAGTTCATGCATGCTTTGTTAAAAAAAAAAAAAGCTCATTTATTAAAAAATATACTTTATTCTAGTTTACAAAGACGGGTTGTCTGATATCAGTCTTGATTCAAGAGAACCATCAAATCGAAGTGCAAAGGACTTGGATGTTTCTATTCAGAAAGGATTGTGTATAGATGAACTGCCTGTTACTAGTCCATCAACATCCTTGACAGCGTTGCCATCTCATATTGCAACTTTTTCGAACTGCACTGAAGTGTTACTCACTCCGGATGATTTTACATCACCTTCTCATTCAAATCTCTCAGGGCAAAATTCCTTTTCACATCGTGAAGAAGTAGGAAATTCTGCATTGAAATGCAACTCTGGGAATTCTTTAGTGGATGGAATAGATTCTCTTCCAGTTGAATCAAGTACTTTGCAGAGAAGGAAATCGTCTCAACACAGTGCTACTAGTTCACCAAGTAGAGAAGTAGCTGAAATTCTAGCACCAACAAAAGTGCTTCATTTAACTGGTATATGATATTAATTTTTATTTCATATTATATCTAATTTTTTAAAATTCCTAAAAAATATTCAAGGCATATAATAAGGAACTATTGCCAACCACCAGTGCATAAGATCTTTCAGTTATTGTAGATATTATTAAAATTCTTTGCTGATCAGTGTAACTTAAAGGAATTATTTAAAATTTCATTTTATCTGTTTATTGGTATAAACGTATTATCCTGTCAACCATGAAAGTTGAAAGAGGTTCTGTTAGTTATGCCAGTTATTCCTGTAGAATTCTGAACTGTGCTTTTCTCCAGAAGGCTTGCTCTGAAACATTTTCTGCCCAGTGATAAAGTCGGTTTTTATGCCCAGTTCACCATATAGCCATTGCTGTGGAATTATTTAATTTCATTTTTACACTTCATACAAAGACTTTAATCAGTTCCTATTATTTCATTAGGCTTCCCAATTTTAATGAAGGCTCTGTTTAGAATGCTTTGAGTACAAACTTCCTACAGATGATTTTTCCAGTCTTTTATTGTTTTGTTAGTCATATGTAGTTGTTCTTTTCAACAGATGTTAAGATGTTCTGACCAACTGTTCAACTGATGTTCTGAGCAACCGTAAATGAAACAAATTGTGCAGTCACAAATGAGATTTATAGTCATCAAAGTCATTTTTGTTTTTGAAATTCAAGAAAAAATATAACAATAACAGTTAATTTATACCTTTGTTCATAAAAACAAAAGGTAGCTTTTGAAGAATCGGTAGGGGTTACATCAAACAAGAGTGCAAATGTAATGAGCGTGTTGTAATGTCATGCTTATCCGTAATTACAGCTACATCACACTGCTTGGGGACAATTTCATGGTTGATGAGATACCGGTTTATCTAATTAAATGTGGCAAAGCACACAAAGGATTATCTGTCTTATGATAGGATGCCTTTGTGAAGGACTTTCTTAGAGAAAATAATTTGCATTAACACTGTGCATGAAGAAAACTGCAAAAACACTCTCATAGTTGGCCCTTTCACTGGGATATGAACCAGGTCGAAATTATCAGTATTTAGTAGTTTTACGAATAGTTTACGAATGGATAATGTTTGTTAAATTATATATATATGTAATGATTTTAAATGCATAGATGAAAACATTGGAAAACATTAATGTGTTCCATACATGACACAAACTTATTCAAGACATTACCTTGACTAAGTCAACAGACATGTCTGTAGAAAAGGAGATTCAGATATTCACTTTTCATTTCTTCTAAAAGAGATTTAAATTGCCTGTGTACTAATGAAGAACAAGACACTATATAATTAATTATTTTAACAACACTACAGAAATTAAGAACTATGATGAAGTCTTGGTAACTAAACTTTCATCATGTATTATGCAGTGGAAGTTCAGTATTTTATCTCTGGTATGATTTTCCAGAAGTTTGACAAATCCTCTTACCTTGCCAAATATTGCAGGAGTATCATCAGTAGTTACACAAAATATTATATATCTATGTTTTTACTTATAAAATAATTTATAAATGAAGAAGGAATATTCTGTCCCATAGTTGTCCCAGACTGAGAAATCAAGCTGCATAATTCTTCATAAACTCAATCTTTATCACAATATCCTGCAATTAGAGCAAGGCATGCAACATCATTCACATTGGTATTTTGATCTAGAGCAACGCTAACTGCAGTAGTTTCATGTAATCCAGACTTCTGTTTTCTTGTTACATTTTCTGCCATTTGAATTATTCCTCTTTCCAGAATTCACACAGAAGCCCATATTTTTATTTCAGTTCAGGATAATATTGTTTGTAGATTTGGTAACTCGCTGAACAGTATTTCAACACTTTAAAGATGTGTCCTTTATATATTTGTTGTCTGTGAAAGATTTGTCCTTGGCAGCTACACAGTGAGCAACTATGAAACTACATTTGGTTACTTTAGGTTTGGTTCCATTTGTTTGACCCCCCCAAAAAAAAAGGTATATTGTTTCTTATATCCAATAACAGCTCTTTCTATAACTTCACATTTCTCATTAGAATTCTGAAATTTGAACCAAGGTTTAGTTTAAAAATGTCTTTGTACACTTGATGTGCAGCATTTGATGCTTTCCCGACATAATAAACTTACAGCATAATTCTTTTATTGTATGAATCCATATTCATTTGTCCAAGAATCTTTAAAACTGCAAATATCAAGCTTTCCTCTTTTTAGTGCCATTTGATTAAATATGTTGGTATGAATTGCCAACTGAAAGCATACTTGCTACTCATATATTGGCATGACAAGCTGAAGAAAAGAAGAGAAAATGGGTAAGGCATGAGGTGGGACAGAGAGGAGAGACAGTGATTTATCTTTATCTAATAACTTTTTAAAGTCGTTTTGAGCTCCGCTGAAAATTATACCATATGCCGTAGGATGCCGATGCATGTGTGAGACAATGGTATGAAGTTCTTAGGTGCTTTTTTTTTAAATTTCTATTATTCAGCTAGGTTTTTGGAATAGTGGAAAGGAGGACATTTTCTAATTGTAAGGTATTATTATTTTATTAATGAATATATTGCATGTGATTATTTATGATAATAATGTTGTAACATATTGTTACAAATTTATTACATAAATAGATCATTTTAATGTAATTATATGTAAAATTGTATTTCTTTCGTATAATGTAATGTGGAAATCTAAATGGCGAAGCTTGACGGAAAAGTAAAAATAATACAGAATACGCGGGAAAGTCTGTTTAACATTGAGTAAAAGGCTGTCTCACTAATTTGGTGAGAAATCATCAAAAGTCACCAAACTTGGTGACATTTGGTGACAGTCCCTGTATCACTGTGATAATTATTGTAATTGAATAATTGTAATGTATTTTATGTGTAATGCATATGACTTCCAGAAATTTCAAGAAGCAGAAAGTACTAGAAATATCTTGGCGGCCAGGTGAAAACTATATAACACCAGTGAAAGCATCTGTTCTCAGTTGTGGTTGGGAGATGTTAGTTCAGAGCATTTTCAAACTATTGAAAACTTTGCCTTTTAGATGCGCTTTGCTTGTGTTGTATTTAATGCTCTTAGTAGTTTGAAGTGTAACTAATGATTGTATTCTGTGTTACTGTGAACACCTGTGTGTGTATTTCTGTAGAACGCACCAAAACTCTGAGGTGTTCCTTTTGATAAAATAAATTTTATCAACTTATCATAGGATCTGCTTGCATTTTAATACAAATCCATATGCACACAACAGTATTAAATCATTATTATATTTTTAATTTAAGTTTTTTATATATATATATATTATTAAAGAATATTATTAACAATCAAACTTAATCAATTGATAATCATTTACCAGGATAAGTTTATTCCTTTAATGTGTGACATTAGTTGCAAATCTGCATATTATTTTAAAATTCATGTTAACAGCTGGTTTTTCATAATTCAAAAGCAGAATGAACAATAAGTTTCGAGTAATTGAAATTAAGTAAAATGCAAAGATGTAATGGAAATGTATAATTTAATGATAAATTAAATTGAACATTAATTCTTTACAATCGTATAAAGTTGCCGTTTTAATTTAAACTTTTAACTCTTATAAAGCCTTCTGAAACCACCAGATAGGTATAAACTGCAAATATATTTCGCATCTTAAAGGAATCCTATTTGCACACAGAATGTTCCTAAACCTATCCTTTTTTCTGGGAAGTGAGAATGGTTCTGTTTATTTAAATCACTGCATTTTAAAAGGACCAATTCCTTTCGTCAAATGTTATCACCTAAGAAGATATTCTGTTTTTACTGGATGTAACCACTAGCCATTATACAAAAGATTTTACTATTAAAGGCAGCAGGGTTGCCACGCTACCTGGAAAACCGGAAAAGGTCAGGGAATTCGAAAACTGACAAAACAATTCAGGGAAAATGTCATGGAATTTAAATATTTTAGGCAAAATCTGGAAAATTCAGGGAATTTCATACGGTAATCCCAAAAAAGTGAGTTTTGTGCCGTCGTTGGAAGCAATAACTTTCTTGGCGAATTATGTATCGCGTGAGCATCATTTATCCAGCTGACCTGGAGCCAATTTTCGCAGCTCCAATTAAATTGTTTTTTAAAAAGGCAAAGCAAGTTTCCAGCAACTTTGGTTTCCAGTAACCTCGAGAATCGAGAGACTCACGTGCTCATGTGCAACGCATGTTGAACTAAAGAAAATACATATTCTCGTATAAGACAAAATTGGTTTAATCCTAGTATAGGGTACTATGGAAGTTAGAATAGCCTTCATATATTCTATTCTAACCTCCATGTACAGTACACACGGGGTTTGGCGACATTCTGATGAGCAGTTTAAATGGGTCATTTTGGTGTTGGTGACAATTTTCTAAAATCGTGCTGAGACC